CACAAAACAGAGTCTGCTTCCACATGAATGTGTTGTTCCATATAGGCAGGGCTGGCTCGCCCGCTAGGCGAGCTAGGTGCTCGCCTAGGGCGCGCTGGCCCTCAGGGGCGCCAAACTGTGCTCCCGCCACCCTAACCGGTGAGAGAGAAAAGCCGGCGGGGATCGAGGGTCTCTGCGGGAGCAGGGTCCCGCAGCAGCTGAGCCTCCCTCCCGGCGAGAGAGAAAAGGTGGCGGGGATTGAGGGTCTCTGCCCGGTCGCCCCTCTCGCTCTCTCTCTGTGCCCGGCTGGGGTGGAGGAGGCAGAGGTGGCATGAGCAGCAAAGGAACGCCCGTTTCATACGTTGAAGAGCCAGCGGACCCTCCATTTGTTACATTGCATTTTGTTGAGCTTAGAGACGATGATTATCCCCCCAACCCCCCCCCCCACCCATTTACATAGTGCAGAAAAAACAATGCCAAGAGCTGCCTTTCTCTCTCCTTCCGAGATCTAATACTCTCTTCCCCGCCTCCCCCATGATTTACTTGCAAGTAAGCCTTCCCTGGATCCGGCTGCGAAGCTTTTCCGTGCAGCTGCGCATCTGAAGCGCTTCCTCTCTTTGGCAATGCAGACATTTCTCTTCTCCCCGCCCAGCCCAGCGGAAGGGCCTTTCCTCCTATAGCCCCCCCCCCCGCTTGCTCGGCCTCTCTTGCAAAGAGCTTTGTCCCTTCCACCCATGCGGTGCAGGACACCAAAGAAAAGGGCTGCCCCTCCTTTTTCGGCGAACATGGGGCAGGGTCTGGAGACCAAGTCCGACGGGGAAAGGCTGAAGGAGCTGGGCACGTTTAGGGACAGCACTGGGTGACAGCCGGAGTAGGGCGGATGCCCTGTCCCCCAAGCCTCACTGGGGTCAGGTCATGCGCCTGAGGAGGCGTCTGCGGCTTGGCCTGGGGTTGCATCCTCCTCCTCCTCCACTGTGCCGTTTTCTGAGACGGCTGCACAGCTTGGGGCGATCCCCATCTGCTGCAGCGTTACTCCGGAGCAACCCCACTGACAAGCATCACGGGGAGTCCCTGCCGACTAACCCACTGAGCAGCATCATGGGGACTCCCTGCCGACTACCGGCTGCCTGGCTGAAGTCTGTCCGGACCGTCCGGGTCTGCAAGGGAGAGTCAGCATTTCCCCTGGGTCTTCTGCCCTTAACCGAGAGGGTTAAGGGGGGAGGGGCAGGGGTTTGCTTTTGCAAGGCAAAGGAGGGGGGCTGCAGATCAGCAACACCCGAGGGGAGGACCCTTTGCAGCCGGATCCTGGGAGGGCTTGCTCATGAGTAGGCTATGGGGTGGGTAGAAGAACCTTTCCGGAGGTGAGGGGCTGAGCAAGCAGCGGGTCTCTCCCCCTCCCCGGCTCCCCGACAGGCCTCTGCAGGGTGCCGCCATCGCCGCCCCCCCCCACACACACACCCCGCGCGCGATCCCCGGCGGTCCAGGGGAGGGGCTTCCCTCGGCACCACCTCTCCTCTGGCCGGCTCTCCCTTCTTCCTGTCTCCAGGCCCCGCCGGGAGGTTGGCATCTGCACTCGCCTAGCGCACACGACAACCTCGGGCCGGCCCTGCATATAGGCTTTGGTACCGCAGTGCTGTTTTCAGGAGCATCCACATGATGTTGTCCTCTACTCTTATTTCTATGCTTTCCCCCATTTTGCTATGATCTTTTTCTAACCTGGTACACACAGCAGTTTAAAGTCTGTCTTGAATTCCATTACTGACTTGTATTCATTGTTTGCTATTTTGTCTTTCATAGTGCCAAAGTCCATGGGATGCTTTATTATCATGGAATAGCTAGGAGCAATGGCATCTGTGGCTGGGAAAGCAAAAAACCCAAGAGGATCTTTCCTTTGGAACTGGTGAAGAAAATGTTCCAATAATTGCTGGATAGGCATACTCTCGTTTTCTGCAGGCTGAGTTCTACAGGCCCAGACTGGATGACCAGGAGAAGGATCAACCTCTACTTTTTCCCCAGGATCAAAATCATCAGTCTCACCCTCTGTGTCACATAGGCCCCAGTCACACAGGCCGGATAACGTGGCGGGGAGGCGTGGCTATTTGCAGCACTGCAATTTAACGTGCCAGAACGCGATCCCATGCGTCAGCGGCATGCCACGGCTCCTTCCCTCCACGTCGAGGGGCCAGAGGGAGAAGCAGTGCACCGGCGCAATCACACTGCGGGAGTCCGGAGGCAGCCCGTGGCAAACCAGTTGCTAGTACCTTCGACCAGGTATTTTTTAACTCCACATTTTCGTCAGTACACCACAGGTTGGCCACGGGTGCGCTCCACTTGCCAGATATTGCGGTGTGATCACGCCTGGATACTCCGCCATTCAGTCGTGGCTCTCCCGCGACAAATTCGCCATGTGAACGGGGCCATAGTTCCTTTCTCTTTTTCTTCTCTTCCTTTCTTTTTCGTCTCTCCTCCTCATCAAGATGCTTTTCTTTCTCTTTACCTAACCTGGTACACTATATTTAAAAAAAAAAAAAAGATTGCTGTCATAGTGCCTTTGGATGCCCTCTGTGCATTTTTGCAGGTATCACCCACCCTAACACCGTGTTCCTTGCCACAGCCTCTGTGGTCAACATTACCCTGGTGCTACCAGATTTTTAAAAAGATGAATATGAAATCGACAGGTCACTATAATGTAATAACATTAAAATGACCCATTACTACAATCTACTAATTTCCAGATTCATTTTTTAAAAGTCACTAGCCCTTTTTATTGCTGAGTTAATTTCTCAACAAAAAGGGCTATAAACTTTTTTTAAAAAATGAAAGGGAAAATAGTATATTGTGGCACTGGCAACAGATCTTGACATTATTATTGTGACAGAGAGATCTGTCAGTTTCCTATTTAAAAGACAAAATAGCAGGCTATATGGATCCCATGGTTCATTGCATACAGACTTTGGGAAATTACTATTTGAAAATATGGTGCTTGAATTCATTCCTCCTCCATGTTCCACACTGCTTTTCCAGTGCACAGGAAACTATTAAGGAATGCACACTAGAAGTCAGCAACTGTTTTGGGTAGCAGGGGAGTTGTGTCTTGCCTTGCCTGAATTACTATAAAAATGTTGCATGTACTCTGAGCCAAGAATTACTCAATAGAGTTGATCAACAAACCTGTTACCAGTGCCAGAATTCATCCTGGGAGCATGGGAATTAAAGAGTTCTGAGCATGTGCAAAGTACCTTTCCATCTCTGTTACCATTAAGTAAACATTGCCACCTTTTGCGCATTTGGAATTAGGAAGTAAAATGTTCCATGCCACAGAGCATTTTTTATTTTGGAAATTAAGAGTGTAAGTCAGCTTCAAACTTTCTTGGAAGAAAGAAACTTTCTTGGAAGAAAGCCGCCCTCAGCCTTCGGGGAGGGCGGGATATAAATCCAAAAATAAATAAATAAAGGTCCATTGGACAAAGGAGGACTTGCTACTAAGTAAATATGCAGACAAGGGATCTATCAAAGGGAAGGCAACAAGCAGCCTGGCATTTCTGGATTGTGCCTTAATCCCAGTAGCTGAGAATTCAGTCCTCTAGAAAGAATTTTGAATTGATACTCCTAAGAATCTGGCATCCACCCTACCAATACCAGTTTGAAGGCTGAAGGGGCCATGGCTCAATGGCAGAGCATCCTCTTCATATGCATGAGGAGGTCCGAACTTCATCTCTCACAACTCCCGTTAACCGGATCAGATCGTAGGGGACGTGAAGACCTCTAACTGAATCTCTGGAGCGTTGCTGCCAGCCAAAGCAAACAATGCTGAACTTGATAAACTGACAACGTATAATGTAGATTCATGTGTCCAGCAGGACGAAAATATGAACGGGCAGCAGGCCGACTCTCGCTGAACAAAGGGGCACGGGCTTCTGAGTAACCGCGGGCTGGACCGAGCTGCTACTGCTGAGATCAAAGAAAAGCGACTGTGAAAGAAAGGAATAAAGAAATACGGTGTGTGTGTGTGGGGGGGGATACAGGACAAAAATGGGGCTACCGCGAACGAACTATGGGACGGCTACCAAAGCCGCTCCAAACAGCCCTTCCTCTTCCCGAACGCAATATGAACACGTCCCTCCACGACTACCACAATCCTCCCTCCAGTACCATAATAACGTCCCCTCACCCACATGCCCTACCGCGGCGTCTTTTAGCTCTTTTCTGATTGGCCAGGTTGCGGTCCCCTTCCGCAATCGAAACCGTTGCCATTGGGCGGCTGTCAGAACGTTCTCTCCGTCACCACGGCGCTCGGCGGCCGCCCGATCGTAGCCAATGGGAAAGCGGCGTAATGTATCAATCTCAAAGCGGCGGCCAATGAACCGGCGGCTCTCCTCCGAAGCCGAATGTTGATGCGGAGGTCCCGACCAATGGGAGCGACGATGCCGTGCTCGTGCTGCTTTCGCGGCAAAAAGGATTTGGCGCGCAAACGTGTGCGGGGCCGGGACCAGCTGGGAACAATAACAGTGCCGGAGCTGAGCTCACAGCATCGAAAGGGGTTTGAGCCGGCGCGCCTAACCGAAAGACTCCGGCAAGAGAAGCACAAACACAGCCTAGGGGAGCGAGGAGCGACCTCAGTGGAGCCGGGCTAGGCAGCTAGGAAGTCGGCACGGATCGAGAGAGCGTGGGCGGAAGGGAGCCCTGCTGTGTGCCGTAGTGTGTAACCCCCACCCTTCCCTTCCACCCGGTGGCCGCAGACTCCCTGGGGGTCTGCCGATGCCCTGCAAAGCTACCTCGGATCTCTTCGTTCTCGGCCTCTTTCCACACACGGCCCTGGCCGGCTGCAGCTCCGCGGAACACCGTTTCCTTGGTCTTTGCTCTTAAGGAGGATGGGGCGTGTTCGTGGCTTCCACCCCTGCCATCCGGTGTCGCCCTCCAGCCCGGCGTCCAGGACAATGCTGCTGGTCCGCTGATCCGCCTCTGGTTCCCGGGAGGGAAAGCCTAGAGTTCCTGCGGTGTGGAGGCGGGGGGGCCCCACGGCCAGGGGTTCCCCCACCCCACTCTCCGGCAAGCTCCTGGGCATGTGAGCCTCGGCGCCTCGGATCATGTCTCTGGAGGGCCTGGGAGTGACCCAGAATGTGACAGACCTGGAGGCCCTCCTGAGGGGAGCAGAGGCCATCCATGTAATGGACCAACAGATCGTGATCATTTCCACCCCTGACCAGCTCCCCACGCCCGAAGGCGAGAACGACGCCGAACTGCTGCTCTTCGCCACTCCGCAGCCCGCCCGGTTGGAGACCGCTACACTGAGGCCTGCTCTGGAGCGACCGCCGGTAATCTCGCCCGCTCGCTCTGTTGTTGTTGTTGTTCTAGGAAGTCAGGATCTTCGGCACAGTAATGGCATGCGCTTCCTAAGCCGTGTGCTACTTCACCCATGTGCTTAGTATGCACACACGGTGTTATAGGGAGGGCTGCAGAGAGGGGACATATTTTAATGCTAGACGAATAATAATATAGACACGCTTTGCTCAGAGCTGACTGATGCCTGGCTCCAGCAGCATGCAGGAAGGCAGAGGAATAAAAGGCCTAGATCCTTGTGAGCGGCAGGACAGTGTTTAGGTTTTTCAGTCATCATAAAAGACAACATTCCCAGCCTCCATCAGATATGAAGGGCAGTTTTCTTAACCCTTATGCAAGGAGACAAGGGATCGGTTGCCTATGAATGCTTCTTCCCTTCCCCCCTTTCTAATGTATTCAGCTTGTTAATTCTGTTTAAAATGACTATATGGGGAGGAATGTAGTTGATACTGCAAGCTGGGGTGGTTCCTTTTCTGGCTTTCTTAGGCCCAGAGACATCTGACCAGAAGGGAGAGCTAACAGTTACATCTGAGCCCTGATAACAGGCGTTTAAAGTCATGTGTAGCTTTGTAAGGACTCCCTCCCATAATTACAGGGGAGATGCGGAGAGAGTTTTCAAAACTGTGACTCAAACAATGCCTCTTGAACGTGGCACATGTAACAGGAAGGGCAAAGAAAGTGCGCCTGGACGCATGCAAAGAAATCATTAACTAGCTAGAAAGTGCATTCTTCAAAACATTCCACTGTGCAACAGAATCCTGCATGGCTCTGCTGCCTGACCTGGATAGTTAGAATTTGCACAGCTTGCGGGATTGTCCTGGGCCTCTCTCCTCTCAAAGCAGGAGTCTGTAAATGTTGTTAATGAAGCAGCTTAACTTCCTGTCACAGGATGTTAAGGCCCAGAGTCCTGTGCAGCTTGTTCCTAACAAAGGCAAATGCTTTGGCTGCATGCTGCATCCTTTTCTTTGGGGCTACTTACTCCAGAGCCTGCAGTGCCTAGCCTGGCATAAGAGAAAGATGATCTGTGAAAGGAAAAGCCAGAGGTAATGCACGTCTTTGCATACGGGGAAGTAAACAGCAATAACACTGTATCTCTGGCTTCAGTTACATTCTTTTAGCTTCCTCTGAGTGAAAGAAAAGGCAAAAGCTGCTATGCCCTGTTGTTATTATGGGGTGGATATCATGTAGATAAAACCACAGGAATTAGTGTTTAGGATAGTTCAGCTGCTTTAGCACTGCAGTGCTTTGGAACTGTAGTGAGAAAGGCTTGAACCCTACAATGAAAGGTAAAATTTAGGAATTAGCTGTGTCCACTGTTACATATTGTAACAAACAGTGCTACATTTAGATTGTCTTGTGGGCTCGCATCTGAATGTGCAAATGTTTGAGAGAACTGCAGTTAAATGTTTTTTGTGGTGGTGGTCAGTGATGTCTTCCCCCAGAAAGCTGAGGGCTCCTGCGTGCTGAACTGTCAGTTCTGCCCCCTATTGCCAGTGCTTTGGAGAGTTACTACTGGAGCATGACTCCTACTTAGGAGAGTCTAGTGCAGGAGTCCCCCACTTGGTGCCCGACGACACTTTTCACTTTGACACTTTTCACTTTGACACTTTTCACTCTTCCTGGTGCCTGCCAAGTATTTTAGAAAGTAGGTGGGACCAGAAGGGGCTTTGGTCCAGCAGGGCTCCTGGTTGGCCACTGGAGATCTGAGTGGCTGTGCAGGTCTTTAAGCTATTGCTTCCGCAGCGACTGACACCACAGCACAAGGATCATCACTGCTTAACTGAAGGTATACCATGGGTGTGCAAGAAGATATTTTAAAACAATGTTTTTATTCTAAAAGGCATCCTGTCACACAGAGCTTGTGTCTGAAATGTCAAAGACTTACCATGAGAGTAATGTGTAACCTCACTCCCTTACATTTTGTGATTGCACCCACCATCCTGTGCTAAGAGTTCCAGAGGTGCCCACAGGATCAGAAAGGTTGGGGCTCCCTGGTCTGGTGTATATATATATTGTGGGGAGAGTCTTTATTTTGTTGTTCAATATATTAGCACACCAATCCCAGCAGGCACCACAGAAGTTATAAGGTCTTCTGTGAAATCTGGATGTCCTTTCTGCTTTCTCCAAAAAAAAAAAAATGCTTTTGCAATTCACTTGCCTTTGGGCTGTAAATACAGGAACAGTATTTGACAAGATGAGAAATTAAAAGGCTGGATCTAGTAGAAAATTTCTACTAACAGAAGGGAGGGTGATTTTCACTGATCCTCCACCTTCTGGTAGTAGATCTCCCAATCCCCTCTTATGCTATTTTTGGGCATCCTGTGTCCCCAAGACCAGCATCATGGGATCATTTGTTGTGGTAGGGAATGACCAAAAAAATCCCACTCCACTGACGGAAATGTTTTCTGTCTGCAGAGATTTTGTGTGGGATCCAATCAAAAATATCCAATGCATATTTACTTGGATATAAGTTCCATTAACTTACTCCACAGTTTGTGTGCATAGGATTGCAGCTTTAGGTACTCTTGAGTGCATTTCTGAATTCTTTTGGTACCTAAAAGAGTGTATATTTTGTATATATTGTATACTTGCTCATCCCTGGTTCTTGCAATTGCACTCTGCACAGTTGCACTCCCAATTGGATGGGTTGTTTGATATGGAGGATGTTGCCTGGAATTGCAGCATCCCTAGCTCTTTTGGTTCAGGTTTGTATGTAGCAGGGTTGCCACATTTTTCTCCTGACAGAAGCAGTTTATCGTTTGACAGCTGTATGGTAGTTGGTGATTCAAGATGCACAGCTTTTCTGTCTCTGAACCCTAGTATCTCTGTTGAATGTCTGCCTGCCATGCAGCTGTTAAAGTTATGCTTTTCCTTTGCTTTATCTTATGAGATGATCTCCCTGTCCGCTTCTGAGGATCTTGAGCCATTATTTGGGGATGGCTAATGCGAAGGGCTGGTTGGACCAGTGTGGCAATCCTAGTTCCCCTTTCTCAGGAAGCAGAACAAGGGAGGCGATGCTTGCAAAGCTTTCTGCTAGTTGACATTCTCTTCCCACAGAGGCCCTTTCTGGTGAGGGGTCTGCAGTGGGCAGTTGCTTTACAGTCAATGCTTTGTTTTAGCTGTAGGATCTGCTGTTTGGGTTGGGAATCTGTAATGAGCTTTCACTTTTGTGTTGTCTCATCAGGGTGCATCAGTCTTGGAGCCATGTGCTGGTTTGAAGGCATGGTCTGTGAATGTGTGGCGGATCCCAGAACCCCTGGACCTGATCTTACTAGGGATCTATTGGAAAGCAAGGAAGGGAGCTGTTAAAAAGGACTCGTCAGAGATCAGATTCATAACCATATTTCAAGTTTAAAATTTTGGACCGATTTCTATGTTGTTAAAAATGTTCAGGGTCTAAGATGCCTAGGTGCCTCAGGAAATAGATACTTGGATATTTTTTTTCTTTTGCCATGGCATTGCTGTGGAGACCAGTATGCATCCTGACTTGTGAATGGCATGACTTTGACTCAGCAGGGTCAAAAATTGGGATTAACCAGTTCATGTTGCAAATGAACAGTCAAATATGCATTTAACCCTATCAATGGGTAAGATTCCACCAGAATCTTTACTATGAGGGGGCGTGGTATAGCTGTCTTCTCATTTTTTTCTGTGAGAGGTCAGTGGGAACCCAGGCCTATCATTATCAACACACGGCTTCTACTTGAAATTAGGGAGGTGTGTCTTATGATCGTACTCATGCTTGTTAGGTGATAAATCCTTATTTATTCCTGAAGTTGTGTGTAGGATAGCAAGGAATTGTACCCCATGTTCTTAGGTTGCTTTCACAACAGAATCCTGAATTGCCCTTTAGGATTTCCCATGTTAGTGTGGTTATGGTGGTTCAGCCCTTGCTGTGCATGGCTAGATGTTAGCATTTTTGTGCTCATAGACATAACACACACACTGTCCTCTAGGAAGGGAGAGGCTGGATATGACATTTTTGTATGGCAGTCAGGACTGCTGGCAACTGAATGTGCCTCTGTTGATAGAAGCAGGAAGGGAAGCACGCTCAGACCACATCATTAACATTAAATAGCAATATTTCTAGAGGCTGAATTAAAATGATTGTCTTACACATTGCATACTGCCTTAATCATATTCACTAGCTTCTGACTCTAACTCCATTAATAATAAAAAGACGTTATTGGCATCCCATGTGAAAATACGTCTGCTGTGCAGATTCAAACTGGTTTAATTACCATGACTTTTTATCCAGGCCCCTATAAATTCTGGTTTTACAAAGGGACTAAAAGTTTCCACTTTCAGCTGCCTTCTCACTTCCCTTTACTCTGGGAAGGACCCACATTCTGGTTGTTCATTCACGCACATCCCTTAGTGGAGTTTGTCCATGTGCTGCAGGATCTCTTGCACTTGTTCAAAGTCCTCTAGAGAGTATTTTACTGGTGGACCAGTAAGAACACCTTTCCTTCTGTAAAAATTTCTGTTTTTCCCTCCCCACCCCTCCGCCATGTACCCTCTGCTACCCCTTCTTGCTCACCAGAGAAAGAAGCCTATTTCCTATCCTGAGCAGCTTTAGAGGCAGGAGCAGTGGCTCTGACCTAGCTACTCCTTCTTTCATAACAGAGGAAGGGGGTTCCCAAGTGAGATCCACCACGGCTGCTTCTCAGCTATGTAGGTGAATCAGATCATCAGCAATGCCCCCTCTACGCTCCACAGTGTTGTGAGCAAAGATTCTACCTTGTGAGCAAAAAAAAAAGCTAGTGGCACTAAAGTTGTAAGCGAGTCTACATTTGACTGTTGCATAAATTAGTTTTTAGAAGATTATTTCCATAACCTTGTAAAAATCTCAGCATGAATTCTTTTAAACCATATTTAAATTATTTTTGTCAAAGGGTTTAAATTATATTTCAACTATATTGTAAGAATAATTTAAACGTTATAAGAGAAAACAGAATCAAGTCAAGTTTCATTACAGAAAAGTTCTCCGTGGGGGTAACCGGGCCTCCAGAGTACAGGTCTACCCACTCCTTTCCACTATATAGGTAGACCTGGCCTTTGGAGAACAGGTCTACCAACCCCAGTCTACTATACTGGTAGACCTGGCCTCAGACTGTCACCCTGCACTGAGCCTTAGAAAACATACCAGCACACCGGGGGGGTGGGGGGGGAGACTCTTGTAGTCTACTTTGGCATTTTTTAGTTAAATATGACAAATTACAGGTCAAGTATAACTGAGGTGGAATAATCACTGTCAGAACCCTGCCAACCAAACAAACAGGAAGTTGCTTAAATGTTATCAACCTGCCCAAACTACTTATTTATTCAATATTTATATCCCACTTTTCCCTGTGACTCAAGGCAGCATACAAATCATACTGAAAAGCATAATAGGAGTGTGCAAAAAAAATATTTTTTTCTCAGCTCCATTATTGCCTATGGAGACAATTATAATCAATGGGCCCCATCTATATATATATAAAAGAAAGTCCCCTCACCGTAAAATCAATGCCCAGGCCGAACCGCTGGACCTAGAGACACCAAATTTGGGGAGAGCGCTCCTACCATGGCGTAGGTGCTCGCTAAGAAGGGATTTTTAGGAATTCAACCCCTAAGGGGGTCAAAAGGGGTAAAATGTGCTTCCCCCCATTGATTCCTATGCGGCTGCCAGGCTGCTGCCTCCCTGCACCCCCCACTCTCTGATTGGTCAGCTGCAGAGCTCAGTGTTCTGAGGTAAAAAAAGCCAACAGTTACAGGAGACTGCAGGCAGCTCATGACAGTTGAGGAAATAAGGAATGGCCAACAACCACCTGTGAGATGCAGTAATGCTGCTGGCCCAGCCTCTCTGATGGCTTCCAACACACTTCCCCCATCTCCTACACCTAACAGGTGGTTGTCTGTCAAGTGCAGCAGCGGTTGCAGGGTGCTTAAAGCCCCGAGGGAGCCTGCCCCAGCAGTAACGCCTTAGTGATCCTGCCGGCCCTGCCTCCACAGTGTCTTCTAATACTCCTCCCCCTCCTACAGGCAGCTGCCTGTCAGGTGTAGGAGAGGTGGTGGGATGCTTACAGCCACCGAGGAGGTTTGCTCAGCAGGATTGTTTTAGCCCTGCTGCTGGCTCAGCCTCTCCGATGCCTTTAAATACAATCCCCCCCAACACCAGACAGGCGGGTGTCTGTCAGAGGGAGCCCACCCCAGTAGTAACACTTTAGTAATCCTACCGGCCCTACCTCCACAGTGGCTTCTAATACTCCTCCCCCCTCCCCCTCCTACACTGGACAGACAGCTGCCCGGAGGAGGCAACTCAGGAATGCGGCAAAGACATTTGCACATAGTACTCCTGCGAGGCACTGAGCTGCGCAGGCCAAGTACCAGCAAGATCACCCTGAGGGGCTCAGAACAACACAGTCTTCATATGAGCAAAACAATCCAGGAACACAAGTAGAGAGGCCATCACTTTCATGAAAGGTGACAGGAATGGACTTAACAGACGACTGCTTCTTAAATGGACAGTTCTATGTGGCCTGCTCCAGAGTGAGTTCATCAAGCAGCCTGGTGATCCTAGCACTCGAGGGCAGAACCACCAATGTGGTCTAGAGAGGTCCTTCGGTAGAGGGGGAAAAAAGGTACATATGTCTCACTTCATTTTTTCCCACTACGATCTTCTCCACTAGAATTCCTACAACAAATGTCACATTTCAAACTTCACATCATTGGTATTATATCTGGATTTACGGAACTTAAATACCGTAGCGAAGCACGGGTATCAGGCTAGTAGGCTATAATGGAGAATCGATCAGGGGGTATCTGGGACTGGGGAGGCTGTTTTTTGAGGTACAGGCACCAGATTTGCAGCATAGCTGCTGGTGCCTCTCCTCAACCCCCCCCCCCAAGTTTCAAAAAGATTGGACCAGGGGGTCCAGTTCTGTGGGCCCCAGAAGGAGGTGCCTCCATCCTCCATTGTTTCCAATGGAGAGAAAAATGCCTTCTCAGTTTATTGAGCTGCCACCTACAATTTTAGCGCAGCTTGGAGGGAACTCTGATCATCAGCATAACTTTTCACAGCATAAGAGTTTCAGACATTCCTTATAGGCAACATAAGAAGCAGAGGCTGGATTCCCATTGTTCTTCCTCCCCTTGAAAGAAGATGCCATATAGGGTTGGATCCAACAAGCTTTTTTGCTGGTGAAAAAAGAAAGGGGGGGTCACCTTTGATCACCAAAAATGCTCTACTGGGAATCATGAGAAATGCATGGGCAAGAGTTATATAGGACGGGGGCTGTAGTCAGTGACATGGGGTGAAATTTTTTTGCAAAATGGAAACTTTTCCAATGCTCCTTTTTCCGTGGAAAAGTTTCCACCACATGTATGCAAATATAGTCCGTTTATCTATAGCTGTCAGGAGTGTTGTGCTGTAAATCAGTCATATTAGATGGGCTACATGAGGAATGTGAAGCATGGACAAACCCCCAGGGGCCTGCACATGGTGGATTTGCCTTCTTTTGCGGACATTATTTAAACATTTAAATTATTTATTTAAATTTTAATTTGAAAAACTTTCTGGAAATTTTCCTACTTAAAGTTCTCCTGGAAAGTCCACAGCAAGGGCTGTAATAAGGAGCGGGACTGGGGGAGACTGGCTCCAACCCAGAGCCCGATTCCGTACTATAAAATGGAGAGGCAGAGAGCACAACTTCAGGCCCAGAAATGGTGGAGTAACAATGCCAGAGAAACAATTGCATCTCTTCTTTTCTTTTTTTGTCTGTGAGGTGATTCTTGGCAAAGATTGGTATTAAGCACCTCAGAGCAAATATCTGTTTGTGCTGGGCCTTGTGTGAGTCACTGTATAAGTAATGCAAACAATAGTTTATCCTTAAAGCATTCAGCTGTCAGGTCTGGCATGTCCACCAGCTTCGTCTTCTGCTGCAGGCTGCTGGGGTTTTCTTCTGTCCCTCTGGAAGCAAAGATGCCTCTGGTGTGCCCATCACTCCAGGCCAGTGTTTGCCAAGTGTTCTGGCTAGCCATATGTCATGGTGGGAGCAAGATCATGGATTAGGTTTAGGTTGAGGCTGGGTGGTCTTACAATACAGTCGCCCAGAAGAAACCCTGCTTGATAGCAGTAAGGCCGGGGATTTGATGGGTCCAAAATAATTTGGCCAGTTATTAGGCAGGTGCTTATTTTATTTAGATCTGCTAAAAAGATAATCAGAATCAACAAGTTTGGTCCCCATGCTCATTACAAAAACAAATTAGTTAACCACTATTGTTAGCTGGCCAACCTGCCTGAGACTTGCTATATTCGCAAGATTTTTTTTTACTATTCTTTGTGTGTTTGGCTGTGGCATTGTAAGCCACCTGGGCTCCAGCTTTGCAGGGGAAGAATTAACTTCTAAAAATGTGGGCAATAAATTATTATTTTTGCCCTACTCAGTATTATGTGACTTATTCGCTATTAGGGGTAGCTTTTGCTGTGCTGCTAGGTTAGCCCTGACTGCAGCAAGGCAAACTTTTTCCATCAGGGTGGTCATCCAGTACAGTTTTTCCCCTTCTTCCTCCAATTTCTGTTTACATTATCTTATTGCTTAATGTCATTGACTTGGGGGGGAAAAACAGAACTAATTGAATATTTACTGATCTGGAGTGCCTATAGTGCTCACAAGGAACCGTGAGGCCTGTTGGTTCCTCCACACTTGGATTATCCTAGCCTAGCCTCATCTTGGGTTTCTTGTGGAAACTTCCGATCTACCCAGTCCCTCTACTGGTTGATTTCTAGTCTCATCTCTTGTCCCCAATGTGCTAGTAACACTTTATCATCTTCTGTAGCTGAAGAAACTGGCTTTCTAGACTATGGAAGCTTCTGTCACAACGGATTTATTAGACTTGTATCATAGAATTCTTTGTTTCCCTGTAGAGCTGAAATCAAGCTGTTGCTCTTTCACTACCTTTTAAAGTCTCTTCTTTTTTCAGGTCAAACGGAAGCTGAATTTGGAGACTGACCACCAATATATTGCAGAGAGTGTCCAAGCAACCCGAGGGAAAGCAAAAAACCCTGTGAAAGGTACTGTTGCCCAGTAGAAAGTTGTAGTGCTTTAACCATTCCCGAATACTTTAAATGTCCTGAATGAAGTAACTTCTTGTCCCATTGGCTAAGTTAGAGCAGGATTTCATGCTGATTGAACAGTTTGAGATTAGAAGCATGGAGCTCCCTGGGCATTTGAGGGGGAAGAAATGGACTTGAACATTTTCATAGCTGATACACATCTTGAACTTATCGGGTACAGAAGTGAGCTTCTCAGAAGCAAGAATATGCTTTGACTTCATGCTGGGCACCATTCAGGAACAGGAGCTACTCATAAAGTGTCTTATGTAGCACTTAATTGGTGGACTACCAGCTCCTACCACTTGATGGGGATCTCCACCAGTTGTTGCTCTCTCGTGCTGATTTTTAGTTCTGTGATCACATTGCTTTGTGCTTGATAAAAACAAAAAGCTAATTTTATAATAGCACCAGAGCTTGTATTGGGCACAGAGTTTTCAGCATCCCAAGAATCCAGGGTTTGGACATATCTGTGCCTGTGCTGTGAAGACAGGCTGGAAACTGAGTGGGCAAAGTCTAGGGACATCTTAGTAGGTACAGCTTGCAGCTACTGAATTGGATTCTGCTGGTATTGTGTAGTTGCTGGTTTCTCTTCCTCTGACTAGCAGAAGCAGTACACATAAAGCACACAAAAACTAGTTCAGATAAGCTAGATTCCGGGGTCTGAATATTTTATTCTGTCCTCGTTGATCCCCAGGGCTGAAGTCTCCCGGAGAGAAGTCTCGCTATGAAACTTCTCTGAACCTGACCACCAAACGCTTCTTGGAGCTGCTGAGCCAGTCGCATGACGGTGTTGTGGATCTCAACTGGGCTGCTGAGGTGCTGAAGGTGCAGAAGAGGCGGATCTATGATATCACCAACGTCCTGGAGGGCATCCAGCTCATCACCAAGAAGTCAAAGAACCATATCCAGTGGCTGTAAGTCTAAGGTCACCTATCCTGTGTCCAGGTGTTTAGGAATTCCTGTGATTTCCTATGAATCTGGTTGCCCTAGTCAGATTGCACTCATTTTGTAGCCTACTGCTGGTGTTAGAAAGTAACTTTTTTCTCTTTGCTACAAGGGATTTGCAAGGCTATCCTTTTGGGATTTGTCTCTTTTGAGAGAAACGTGTGTCTTTATTCACACTGTATGAAAGGGAAAGCTTGGTTTTATGGTGCTAAGGGAATGATTGCTTGGCACACAGTAAAGGATGAGAGCAATGACCATACTGGGCGTAGTTCATCTTCCCTTACTTCAGAGCAGCGGGTCTGGGAACCTCTGGGGATCCAGGAGGGTATTCCAGGGGCCTGCAAGCACCTTTGTCAGGACAGAAGGTCAGCTCTTCTTGTGTCCATCTGGTTAATGTGAAGATGGAACCCACTCTGTTTTCTAGGAAGGAAGCGGGGGGCTCTCTGCCTCAGAGGAAGGGGACAGAATTGGCTCCCCCTCTTTCAAAAGGCAGGATCTCATAGAGCTGTCACTGCCTACAGTCACCTAACTTCCAGATCACCTCAGAACATGCTGATCAGTTGCAGGGAGCCAATAGCTCAGCTCAGAGCTCTAGTTTATACAGTGATGCCAATGAGGAACTAAGTTGTCATAGTTACTGCAAAATATTGAGGCGAGGGGAGGTAGGGCACACTGCATTGATAGACAGCAAAAGCTTATGGTGGCTTTTAGTTGAATACCAGAAGTTCAGGTTTTGTGTGATATTGGTCTTTTTCTGTTTCTTTTGAGCAGCTCTGAAAGTTTTTCCTGAGGCCTCTGTTCAGCCTAGCCTCTACCTAGTAGGTATTGACTAATAAGGAAGTTTCTGTCTCTGGTGCAAACACCCTTCCAATCAAAGGATGAGATTGATTAGAATTTGGGTCAGGGCCTTTTAAGTTGTATCACCTCATGGCCAGTAGATGTTGACAAGGTCTGTCTTCCATGGAACTGAGTTGTTTTGTTTTTGGAGGCCCTCCCAAAACCTTATCATAGGGAGGGGCAGAGTCACGGTCTGTACGCCTACTGGAATTATTGCTCAGTGCACAGGGCCTTTGGGCATGCTACTGAGACTACACCTGCCCGCTAAAGCACATTTTGAAGATGGTCTCAAGAGCGGGAGACTTACAGTGGCAGAGGTGAAAAAAACCTGTCTGCTCTTTATCATGTGTGTGTGTTGCTGTTGTAACCTGAAGCGTTCCTCTTTCCTCAGGTCTCTGGTATGAATCCTTCCTGTCTTAGGTCTTTGTTGTGAATAGCTCGCAGAAGTATTCTTGTAAACAATAACTAATGTAGGAAGTGGCCTTGACTCCTCTGGGACATAGTCCGGCTGCAAGCAAGGTCTTGAAAATGTATGAAGAGAGACTCTGCAGTGTTGGGAGAGGCTCCTGCAGGGTTCCCTGCAGCAGTTTTGTCTCCATGGTTGCAAAATGGCAGTTACTTTATCTACCTGGTGTTTCTTCTTCTGCATTCCAGTTGTGTGGCTTGCTTGTCTGATTTTGGTATATTGCTTGGAACGGCAGCATCTTATGCACTGTGGGAGTGGGGTTGTCTTGCCAAGTTTAGGGTAGATAGATACAGACGGGTCATTTCGTAGAAAAAGAGGTGCAGGAGCTCATTAGCATAACTCATTAGCATAACTTATTTGCATATGCCACACACCCTGACATCACCTGAAGTGTGTCAGAAGGCAACACCGACCGCTCAGGCTCCACTGGACTGTTTTGGATTGCTAGCTATTGGGGGGGGGATGTGCAGATCTGTCCTCACAGAGGAGGGAGAGCTTGTACCTGAATAAAACTTGGTCTTAAAGATCCCACTGGACTGTTTTGAACCGGGGGACCGGGAGGGGGCTTTGCAACTTACCTGGCTGCTTCTTGCTCTGACTGAGGGCTGCTGGGAGCAGGGGGGGGGGCTTGTTGCATGTGCTCTTTACTGCCGGAGCTCCGCTCCTGTGCACTCCTGCAGGAAATTACCCCTGGATACAGAAGACACCTGCAGGCTCAGTTTGTCAGAAGACTCCATTCTGGCTTCCAGTTTCTGCAAAGGCAGCATGTCCTGGTTGGAGAGAGAGGGTGGCTCTCTGTAAAGACCACTTTTCATACTGTCTCATTGTGAGGATCTGCTTCCATACCCACCAAGTTGTAGCAACAGGCTGGTATGGGAGCAAAGAGCTTATTCCAACTCCATACCAGAAGGTGTGCAAAGCTGGACCAATAACATAACCTCTGCTTTGCTGACCTCACAGGTTGTTGTAAGTATACAATGGGGAAGGAAAAGATATGAATGCCCCCCTCCCCTTGAGCTTCTTGCAGGAAGGGTAGACTAAAAATGCACTAGACAATTTGCCACTCAAGACAAAAGAAAACTGTGTGTGTTGGATTGGCCATCTGCCTTTCAACCTCCCTTTGATGCTGCATACAAGAGACTTCTGGCCTGGGTTTGGGGCCAGCAAGTAGTTCCTGAACAAACACAATGCAATCAAGACTGGACATGCGTCAGCGTGCCAGCAGGCTGAGCACATGCTTTGTACATTTGCCAAATGCTCAGCAAGGACCTGTTAAGAGATGAACACTGAAGCTTGCCCTGTTAGTATCATGGGCATTATGTTTTAGCCTGCTTCTCTTGAACACTTCATGTAACTGCCAGCTGTTATACTTTTATGTTCTGGGCAGTCAGTTCTCAGAACTGGCGTGGGGTACTGGTCGGAGTGCTGGAATGGAAATTGGAAAGTCCAAATTCAAATCCCTTTTCTGCTGGGATGCTTGCTGAGTGACCGTGGGGCAGTCCCACACAGTAGGGATGATAGAAATATCTATCCCCTCCCCAAGCACCTTGCAGGAAAGGTGGGATAGCACCAGACGGTAAATGTGTCTGGACATTCACTAGCCAAGTGCTGTTAAAAGTTCGATTGTGTAGAAACATGCACACAAAATGCAGTTTGGTCCTTTTACTACATTCCAGGGTAGCAGCAGGTTTTGGGGGGGCTTGTTTGTCAAGGAAGAGATCACTCCCTTTTGGACCCTCTTGTTTCTTAGGGGCAGCCGGTCTGCTGTGGGGAGTGCCAGCAGGAGCCAGGGCTTGGTGAAAGAGCTCCAGGATCTTCAGGCTGCAGAACAACAAATGGACAACCTCATCCAAATGTGCACCACCCAGTTCAGGCTCCTCACCGAGGATCCCGAGAACAAGCAATATCCTTCTCTTGGAAGATGGAGGGGAGGATTTGGGTGGTTTTAGCAGATCAGAGGATGCAGAGCAGCTTCATAGCAGCATAGAAGAGTCCCCATGTTCTAAAGAGGTAGTTGCACTCCTGACATTCCAGGACTGGGTGTTGGTGTTCTAATTTTTACTTTCCCACCCTGTGAGCTAAGTGGAAAATACCTACCTGGCTGCTAGGTTGAGGCTCTGTATTGTGGATCTGAGAAAGGGCTGCGGTGAATCAGCCACATGTTGCTCATTGGATTTTGGGGTGTTTTGTTTTTGCCTGGCAGCCCTGTAGTTTTGCTGCTTGGCCCGAATGATAAAATCTAGATCTCCCCTTCCCCCGCCCTCTGGTGTGGCGGATGATCTGCCTGCAGTGTGTGTTTGAGAGTATTAGGAGGCCTTGTTCCCCAGGCTTGCCACGAATTTTGAATTGCTCCCAGAAGGCTGTGGAGTAAAAAAATCCAACCCATCCACCTTGCCCCTTGCAAAGTGTTCGCACTCTGACAAAGCTGTTCAGTTAACAAGAAGTGGGTGTGGCAGAGGATGGCACTTCTGTGGAAGCGTTCCAGCATTGAAACCTAAGAAAATCACATGGGTGTGTTCTCTTGAATTAGATCTAAATGTTTGGAAGGAAGAAGAAAATAATTGACACAGTGTTGCAATGAGTTTTCACTGTGTGGCAGGTTATGAGTGGGGAGCGGTGTGTGCATGTCCATGCACACAGTGTTGTGGTATGCCTTATCTTCTAAGCTCAGTAGAGCAGTCAAGCTGGTATTGCTGTTCCCCAGCATGTTGTGATTTGGCCCTTGAAAACTGTGTGTGTCGTGTTGTAGTTCTGTGGGTCTTGGCGAGTAGCCTTGTGATCCTTCTCCTGCCAAAACTTGACTGAGCACACCACAGCTTATGTGACTTGCCAAGATCTGCGCAGCATCGCAGACCCCTCTGAGCAGCTGGTGATGGTGATCAAAGCCCCCCAGGAGACACAGATGCAAGTCTCTGACCCAGCAGAGGTAACTTTTCCTGGCTCCCTGAATTGCAGCCCCCCCCCTACCCGGGGCCATTGTGTTCTGATTGCCCCTTGCACCAAGACTGTGGAACCCAAATCCCGCTGGCTGTTCTGGCCACCTAGAAGAGCCTTTTGAGACTGAGCGGTGGCTGAATTTAGGCTGTGGCTAGCATATGCAGATGCCACAGTGCTTGAAAGGGTTAGAGAGGAAACCACGAGGATCTAAGCCAGCTTCTCCTTCCTTCGTATTTGGATCCGTGATACATATCAATCCCAACTGCCTTCCCACGAAATTAATAGACATTGACTAATAACGTTATGCAGAAAACTCCTGAGACCAGGTAACTCATACAAATGGGACAGAAGCCCAGTTGTGCCTTAAAGACCACTGTTTATTCCAGAATGCACGTCCACGGGTCAGAGCTTGCTTCAGGTGCTATGTAGAGGATCTTCTTCGCAGCGTCTGAGGAAGTGAGTTCTGAGTCCCTAAAGTTCATGCTGGGATAAAAGTTGTAAGTCTCTAAGGTGCCGCTGGGTTTCTTGTTTTATTTTGCTAGGGTAGACAAACCTTTCTGGAATTATCATATGAATTAGAGTCCTGCTGCATATGTACTTGAGGCTGCTACCCAATTTGACAGCAAGGAAACAATGCTGCTTTAGACGGTGAGCAGTGAATCAGAAACCCACCTGTTCTCCAAGCCTTCCCGAATGAAAATGATCACGGTCTTCTGGACTAAATGCTGCATGCAGCTCCCTGCCTCCAACCTGCCAATGACAGCTGGAGAACAAAGAGAAGAGATGGTGCAGAGTATTGACTCTGATGTAGCTGATGCTGCCCAGCTTGGAACCAGGGCATGTAAAGAAAGTGACTGCCCATTAGTTACTCCTGAGAGCCAAGGCTGGGCCATAGAATTAGAGGTTTGTGCAGCCCTGTAATAACTCACCAGTCCAAACCTGTGTTTCAGCGAGGTCCCTTGCACAGGTCTTGGAAGACCTTGTTGGGAGCACTTTCATTTCTCTGCCAGAGAAAGCTAGCTTGCTGCAGGAAGGAGAAGAGATTGGATTTATACCTCGCCCTTCACTTGGAATCTGAGTGGCTTACAGACTCCTTTCCCTTCCCCTCCCCACAGCATTCACCCTGTGAGGTAGGTGGGGCTGAGAGAGCTCTTTCCAGAGCTGTCCTTGAGAGAACAGCTCTGACAGAACGATGGCTTGCCCAAGGTCATCCAGCAGCTGCAAGTGGAGGAGTGGTTCTCCCAAATTAGAGTCTGCGCACCTAACCACTACACCAAACTGACTCTTTCTCTCCTTTTGTCCTATTTATTACATTGGTGGTCTGAATTTAGCAATTTCCATTGTGTTTCTTGCATGTTAAGTTCTTTTGTTAGGTGGCCTGGGAAGTTACAGAGATAGAAAGGCCATAGCAGGAACAGCCTCTGTCTATTAGCTTCTCATAGACAGACTTTCAGATTCCTGGCCGCAGCCTCTTGGAAGGGAAAGGAGATTGTAATCTGCTCTGGGATTCTTTCAGGTAGTGAAGGGCAGGGTATAAATCCAATCTCCTCCTCCTCCTCCAAGAGCAGGAGTAAATTATCTGATTTGCAGACAGCCAGTAAACCAGACAAGCAAAACCTGCTGCAGAAGATGTTACCACTTGTTCCCCATGCAATTCAGTTTCATTTATCCACAAGAAGTGATCACATTCTAGTGAAATGTTCAAAGTTCTGTGGAACAGAAAGAACAGGGAGTGCAAGAAAGTTCTTCAGACTTCTAAATGCCTTCTCAAAGTCTGACTAGCTCCTTGTCTTTGGAGGAGGGATACTTACGGGTACAGAAATAAATGCACCACCAACCTTGTCATTACTAAAACCAAAGGACAACCCATGACTTGGGTCCTGCTAAGTCCTGTTTACCTCTTGATCCCTTCTAGGCTTTTCAGATTGCTGTGAAGAGCACTCAGGGCCCCATCGATGTATTCCTTTGCCCAGAAGAGAGCTCCGGGGTCTGCAGCCCCACCAAGAGCCCGTTGAAAGTGGCCGCTGAAGCTACTTCCCCGGAGTCATCACGAGCAACAGCGTCTGTGCTGCTTCACCCCTCCCAGGATATGAAGCTGCCATTGCTGAGTGGAGACCAAGGTACGGGAATGGGAACAGGGCAGGGCCCCCCCTTCCCCAAGAGCAACACTCTTTGCCAAGCCTTCTCTAAAGGATAGTCTTGTCTCAGGCTTGCCGTGTGTCTTGTTCCTCATGGAGAATAAAGATGGTAGCCCCTTGGCAGGGATGGAGAATGTAGCCATTGCAAAGACAGTGTCTGCCTTTCTTTCCCAGTTGCAAGGGAAATAGCAACACATGGTGCGGTGGCTGCACACCTTAGCAGCTCAGAAGAAGTGAGAGGCGGCTTGTAGTGTTTATCCATTGGTTACTGGCACTCTCTCAGGTGTCACTTAGAGGAAAAACAGTCAACACTGGCATCAGTGAAGTTAAGCCTAGTCCAGTTCCCATTGAGAGGCACTGAGCAAATCCGCAAGCGCATCTACTGTGCTGTTCAATTATAAAATTCAGTCGCAGAGAAACCATTCTGATTCTTTTAGGCTCTGAGGCTAGAGGCAGGCTGTTGAGTTGCCACCACTTCAGGGTTGTCCACCCCCAGCGCAGCTGAATTGCAAGGCTTCCAGAAGTGTAATATGTGACCCATATTCCATGGAAAACGGCAAACTCCCAATTTCCAGCACTTTTCCTCTTAATCCTGTCCCTTGTAGCAGGATTTCAGGAAACATTTTAGGCTGCAGCCGGAGTGGAGAGGTGAAGTCTTGTTCTGCTGATGAACTTGCAAGTTATCAGAGATTTTACTGCAGGATCCTTGCTGGCTTTGCCTGAAGCTAGGGCAAGACTGGTAATAAAAACCAGCCCTGGAACAGTGCCCCCCCTCCCCCCGGAAGTGGAAAGCTGAAGGAGCCATCCAGCTCTGCAACTCTGCCAGACCCTGTCCTGGGCCCAGTGCCCGGCTTGCTCAGGCCAGGAGCCTCATTTCCCAGGCTAGCGTGGCTCTTCTTCCCTGGGCTGGAGTGATCCACATGTGACGGGGGAGGGCAGGCCATTGTGACTGTAAAGGCCAATCTTCCCCTGGTCTGAAGAATGTAAGGCGTATGCTGTGAATGATGAGAGGCTATGAGCATGGGCTTAGGGAAATAAGCTGCAACTCTTTCTAAAATGACATGAGAATTACCTTGCTAGATTCGGTCGTGATTCATCCGGCAACCTGTTTACAGCAGTGCCCAGCCTCTGGAAACTCTTTAATATTATAAAACAACATTTTAAAGAGCTCCATGTGATTTCTCTGGGTATTTAAGAGATGCATCCATTTCCATTAATCCCTTCCTGTGGAAAGGAGCTGCGTTTCGGTTCTCTTTCCTCTGGGATTGTTTTCTGTCCGTTAATCTTTGGAGGAGACTGAGGAGTAGAGCAGCCTGCAGGTACCTCAAGAAGACAGACTTTTCCTTGTGGGCAGGCTTTGGGTTTCCTGCCCTTTGTTTCCCAGGCACCCTCTAAGCCTCGGGGTTGGAATCTGAAAAATAAAGAGAAAAGCAGGAGCTAGTCACCATTTGTGGGGCAGAGAGCTCTCTCTGAAGCTGGGAGGCAGAGAGGTTGCTTTTGGAGGGCGCTGACCCCTCGACCCAAGCTGGGGTGAATCTGTCTGACCTGAATGGGATCAAAGGGGATCAGGTGTATTTACTTAGTTAGAAGTCCAGTATAGACAGTCACAGTAGGGAAATCTGTTGTTTTGCTGGCCTGCTTTTCCCCCTGGAAGTTTTTGCCCATTGTTAATCTACCCTATCTTCATAACTGTTCTTTTACCTACCCTGTTGTTACCATACTTGTTTAATTTAGGCCTTTTTGTTCCCTTTGCCATGCATATTTGGCCATGCAACATGGCACACCCTCACTGAAGAGGGGGGTGCAGGGAGAGTGCTCTAGGGCCCTCTCCTCGGTCAAACACCAGAATGGTGGTAGCCAATGACCACCCTTGCCTGCTCCAGTGGGGAAGGGGGAGTGTGGGCCTGGACAGGTCCTTGGAAGGGACTCACTGTCCTTGCATGGCCCTGCCCTTTCATGTGCCATGAAGGCATAGGACACAGGAACCAATTCATCCATATAAAAGGTAAAGGTAAAGGTCTCCCTTGCTCGAAAGCCAGTCGAGTCCGACTCTAGGGTTGCGGTGCTCATCTCCGTTTCAAAGCCGAAGAGCCAGCGCTGTCCGAAGACGTTTCCGTGGTCATGTGGCCAACTGCTAGGTTGGCAGGAGCTGGAACTAGAGACGGGAGCTCACCCCGTCATGCGGCAACTCGGGTATCGAACTGCTGAACTACCGACCTTCCACAGCCTGCAGTTCAGCATCTTAACCACTTGAGCCACTGGCAGCTCCTTTTTAATTAATTTAATTTATTAATTTAGTATTATTATTAATTAATTTAATTAATCCATATACTATAGATTAATAAAGTGTATCAGGGCGAAAGTAAACTGGCCCTGCTTAGCTTCCAAGTTCTCATCATGAGCTCAGATTAGCCTGCGCTTATTTAGGCCGCTCCAGTGTGCTCCGTACCAGCTGGCTTTCCGCCCTGCAAGACGGAGGAGTGGGGCTAGAACACGCTGGGATTGTTTGCTTTATGCAGACGGGCCAGCTGGGGATAACCAGCTTGGCAGAGCAATCTCTGTGAGTCTTGATGGCATGAACAAGCTTCCCAGTCACCCTTTCTCTCTCGACAGAGCTCTTGCTGCCCGGCGGGGACAGCACACCGCCCACGAAGTGCTTGACGGACGACATGACTCTCTCGCCACTGGCCTCGGTTGACGCACTGCTGGAGCAGGGCAAGGAGGACTTCTCCAGCTTCCTGCCTGCTGAGTTCATTGCCCTCTCACCACCCCAGACCCAGGACTACCATTTTGGGCTGGAGGAGGGTGAAGGCATCAGTGAGCTGTTTGACTGTGACTTTGGAGACTTCACTTCTTTGGATTTCTGAGTGTCTTTGGGATTGGGGGGGGGCGCCACGCTCAGCTGACCCTGCCCCATGTTGTGAGTCATCCCCCCCTGAGCTGACATCTGAATGTAAATGTGAGGCCACCTGAGGCATCCTTGGCCAACTTGCTGTGGAGCAGAGTCCGGGGGATGGAAGAAGAGAAGGGCCTGAGTCCAGGATGGCGAGGGAGTGGTAGGTGGGAGTTGGTGGCTGCCTAGACCCAGCTGTCTTGCCGTGAAGGAGGAAGGCGACTGGCCATGTGAAGCCAATAGCTGCTGCGCTGCTGTGAAAGTGGCTAGACCTCGTGTCTGTGACCTCAAGGGGCCAGCATACGCTGCTGAGCCCCAGGCTGATAGTTGTAGAAGTGATAGTCCTGGCCGGTAGCTGGAGTCTGTGGTGCGCCATGTTTTTGATGCTGTTGGAGTAGTCCCAGTGAAGCCGTTGGCCTAGCAACAGCACCACCTACCTTTCTGATTTCCCTGAATTTTTGCCTCTGTGGCTGTAGGGTGTCCCTCTCTGTCAATGGCTTATCTCACCCTCCCTCCTTAGTATGAGTCGTTTCTCCTCCTTCGTGGAAGCTTTGCTTCTGAGAACACACAGTCCTTTTCTCACTCCCAGCAAAGGGTCCATGGGTTTCAAGGCAGCAGTGTATATTAGGTATTGCTTTGGGAAGGCAGCATTCTCTCAGGAATGAGGCAGGAACGGTACTCTGCGTGACAAACTGACTATAACTTCATCGATTGTGGTTGGCTGATGCAGGGGCATTATATACTTGGAGCTTGGGAGTAGGGGTGGAAAGGAAAATGACGCCAAGTTCTTTGGCTGGCAATGCGTAGAATTGAGATTGGGCCTGGTAATGATCCAAAATGGCCACGCTGAGGGGGGAAAGCCAAGTGTATGGAGCAGGGTGGGGTGGTGCTGAAAGGAACCTTTTTTGGGGGGAGAGCCCAAGCTCTTTGAGCTTGCTAGAGAAAATGGGCAATCAGTTGTGCTAGAAAGACTTGTAGTTTCTGCTTGAAAAGGAACAAAGATGAATAAAAGGTATCCTATAAATGGCAGCCGTTGAGGGGCAGGGGAAGCTGCTTCTGGGTATTAGCTCAGAGCAAGAAGCTCTTGTTTCTGGAAGTTCTACTCACTCTAAAGCTTTAAGAAGAGTTGTATATAGCTTAATTTATTTATTTTGGACTCCCCCCCTCCTTCTTGAAAGGCATCTAATTTTTTTAATAATTATTTCTGGATGGGAGATGTGCGCTTGGGGGGGGGGGCATGCGTAGAAGTAATTGGCCAAGTGGCCAATGCATTTTAACTGTCCCATCTCTGAGGCTGGCAAAGCTGATGGGGCAGGGGAGAAAAACAGCAAGGAGCATTTCTTGCAGCATGAGAGTCAGAGTGTCTTGGTGGTGGTCTCCATGAAGGTGAGGGACTCCTTTTCTTTGTTTGTTTTGCTCCAGCTCATATTGTATGGTATGGAGCATTGAACACGCTGGGGATTTGGGGGGGGGGAGGACTGCCTTGCCCATAAAGTAAAGGCAAAAATGTTGACATCCATCTTCATGCTGTCCCCTGTGCTAAGCACTGAGGGATGGTCAGATGTCATAAATCCATATTATTTATTTTTTATTTATGTGGCTCCACCCAGTGCTCCTGGAAGGTAAGGAAGGTATCTGCGGAGGAAGACTGCATGAAGTGGAATTAGGCATATCCAGGTATGTGGAATGAGGCCATATTGTATCCTGTTAGAATAGCTAACCTAGCTATTGAGAATGGAGAGCTGAACGTAGCCAGTGTGTTCTAGGTAGCCAGTGTGTTGTAGTTTAGCTGTTAAGTTTGATGGGAAGAGATTGCTGGGTGGTCCCATCTATGCGATGAAGTATGACTGGTGAAGACTGTTGAGTTGAAGTGATATTTATTGATAGTAAATGGACAGCAGGTTTGACTAATAAAGGGGGGGATGTTGAGGAAGAGAGTGAGTGCCTGGCAAACAAAGCTGTAGACAGCATGGTTCTATTGGCTTACCTGTTTTGTTGAGGAGCTCCTGTCCTGAGAAACCAAGGACAAATGGGGCTTTATCATAACCTTAGAAATGTAAATATTGCCAGGTGGGTGGACAGAGAGGTGTACCTAGCATATGGGCAGTGTGTCAAGAGGTGCTGTTCCTTGGGTGCCTTCCTGTCAGAATTACTACCTATTTCAGTTAGCTAAAACTCACCAAAGTGTGCTGCTCCTTAGGAGGGGCTTTTCTTGCTTTACAAAAAAAATAGCAACTGTGAGTATCAAACTGTAGAACCCAACAAGTTGGGGGGGGCGGGGTTACGTCTTTATAGCTGGTAGGTCCGTGGAGCAGCCTCACCTGTTTGGCCTACCTTTGTGAGGAGAATGAACCTGTGTAGGCCTGGCGGATTAAGAGGGCGGGATCAGGTGACTTACCTGCTGTGGTATTGAGACTAGGGCATGGAAGTGTCCTGGCTGCAAGGAAGATTGGGAATGAGGCCCCTAGCTGGCCCTCTGTCATTGTCAAATGCAGCATTGCTTTTTGGATCAAAACTTGATCAGCCAGGCAGTGGTTGTGTAACAATGAAGGTACATCAGTTCACCTACAGCATGGTATTTTCTCCATGGGACTAAGACCCCTGCAGCAAAGCCAAAGCAACTGATGGCCAAGAATCATCCTCCTTTTAGCTCGGCTCTCTTGAAGCAACTGTTAAGGGCTATGTTCTTTCCCCCAGCGACCTTTCGGATGGTGAGCTGCACTGTTCCTTTGCAACTTTATCCTAGTTGGGCCTTGCTTTGCCATTTCAGTGAACATGCAGTGGAAGTTCTTGATCCCTTGCACTTGAGCTAACTTCTTCCAGCTTCCGTGTACAAGACCACCTGTTTTATCTGATGTTCATTCCTCATGAATGTGGGCACATTCTTAGAAATGCAGTTTTAGTTCTCATAATTGTCATGGAAGCTGAAACTCATTCATCAGGGACAGAGTTACAGGCTCCTAGTGGTTCAAAATGTATATTTAATATTTCAGAATTTTCACGGAATTATCCTGTAAGGTTATCAGTTCTGCAGAGACCGGGATCTCAGCAGACTTACAACTTTTGCTGCTTGCCTTGGGAGGGGTGAAGTGGGGATTGAGTTCCTGGCAGGCCCCAACACGTGGCAGGGATGCTGCTTTTGGCTTGGTGGGACACAAGTTCCGTAGGCCTGCACTAGGGTTTCCTCAGTCCCTTTCTACATACTTATGGCAAATAATTGTGCTGCTGTTCTCCGCTGGATTTTTCAGAGTAGCCATTATTTTCTTAGTTTTTCACTTTTATATCGAAAAGTTGCCTGTGGCCTTTACCTTCCCCATCAGCAGTTAGGTGGGTCTGATCTCTCCCCCCCCCCCCAAGTTATTAGTTTCATCTCTCTTCCATCTTACCTATTTTTATATAAGCCTCTTTTAGTAAAAACATGGGGATAGGGGGGATTCTATTTGTGATCTTATCTATGTACAGAGTACCCCAGCTCTGAACCAGGAGATTCTTGATGCCAGATAATAGTAAAATGTTTTCTTGGTTATTTGCTTTAAGCCTTCTGTAGTCCAAGGAGGAAACCCGGAAAGTACATAAAGCAAACTAGGATAAAGGGATAAAGGAACAGTGTATCACAGGTACTATAGGAAGGCGGGTGTTTTACATGCAGGTAAATCTTGCATGGTGGGGGAACCAAATTCAAAGTGCTCTGGAGGGCCTTCTGCTGTTGAAGTGATGACATTTGGCCAGAACTTCCAAGGAGATGTAAAAGGGAAGACTCACCAAATATTCTACTGATAAAATGAATTTTGGGGTAACTTTGTAATAAGTGTGCTCATGGTTCCAGAGGCTCAACATGAGAAGAGCTCAGTGTATGATATCCCAGATGCCTTGGATGTGAGTACTGATGTCCAGAAGCAACTACAGTAACATTCTTCTGACATCAAGCAAAATGTAGTGGGGAAGAAAGGTAGGGGCGATAGAAGCAGCCTGTCTTGCTTGTTTTTTAACTCAGATGGGGGACACTTAGGACAGCATGTGTAATATTGATAGTTTTGAAAAGCCTTGATATCTCCTGGTTAAAAAAAGAAAGAGAGAGAGAGAGACCTAGATTCCTTTGTTGTTCCCTCTTTCCATAGGCCTTTACTATTTGCGGAAAGAATTATGGACACACAGGCTGAGATTGGTCTTTGTTTTGTACTTTTATTAAAATTGAAAGCACAGTAGAAAGGAGGGTCTCTTCTTTTCCCACCAGCCAGGGAGTTTGTGTCCTGACATGGTTGCGTAAGCATAAGAGACTGTAGAATCCATGAATGTTGCATTGGTGGGGGGGGGGTTGTTGAAGTCTGCCGGGGTCTCTGGATGGTGGTTCTTGAGGGTTGCACCTTTCTGTACATGCCCAGCTGGGAATTCTGGGTCCTTCTGGCAGCCAAGTGGCTCAATGCAATGCAAATCAGCTGCAAATCCCAGTGCCTAAACACTGAGGGGCAATGCACTTCTGTGTACCTTTTTTATAACAAGCCTTGTTCATGATTTGTGCTTTTGATTTTAATAAATATTTCTACTTCATTTCTTTTTGGCTTGGTAACTTGCATCTTAAAATGCTGACTCGCCTCACCAGAACTTGTCAATGTGACCTCTTGTTTGTTCTTCTCTACCCTTACTTGTTCAAAAGTCCTCTCAAGAAAGGGACTGTCTAATTCACATTCCTTAGAGGCAGAAAAAGAAGAAGAGTAGGTTTTTATATCCCACTTTTCTCTACCTTAAAGAGTCTCAAAGCAGCTTAAACATAAGAACATAAGAGACGCCAATGTTGGATCAGGCCAAAGGCCCATCCAGTCCAACACTCTGTGCCACACAGTGGCCAAAAATACCAGGTGCCATCAGGAGGTCCACCAGTGGGGCCAGGACATTAGAAGCCCTCCCACTGTTGACCCCCCCCCCCAAGCACCAAGATGACAGAGCATCACTTGCCCCAGAGTCCCTATCTATACCTTGTGGCTAATAGCCACTTGCAATCGCAAGTGGGGAATCAATCCCGGTTCTCCAGATTAGAG